CCTCAGCCTCCAGAGTAGCTGGGACTACAGGCACACTCCACCATGCCTGGCTAATTTTTAAAAATTTTTTGTGGAGTTGGAGTCTCACTATGTTGCTCAGGCTGGTCTTGAACTCCTGGCCTCAAGCAATCCTCCCCCACTTGGCCTTCCAAAGTGCTAGGATTATAGGCATGAGCCACCCAGCTACGATAATATTTTCAAAGAAGTTGAGAAAACACAAATTAAGTAGAACCTGAAGTGGAACCTGCTAAGATGTGTTACATATGATGATGGTAAAGAAAGAGGCATAGTGGGGGCATATTCACAAGGCATATGAAAATGTAAAGCATATGGTTATTCATTATATTATTCATCAGTAGGTATATTTTGGAAAATACTTGAATTTATCATGTGTCATTGAACCAGTGTGACAACGGTGAACTTCATTCACATATTCACGTCTCGTGGCCTTAACATCATCAATCCTATAAACGTGAATGTTTGAATCCCCCCCAAATTCACATATTGATGCCTAATCCACAACGTGATGGTATTTGGAGGTGGGGACTTTGGGAGGTAATTGGGTCATAATTAGGGAACTACGTGGAGCCCTCATGAATGAGATTAGTGTCCTTATAAGAAGAGGTATGAGAGAACTTTTCGTGAAGATATGAGAAGACAGCCATCTGCAAACCAGGAAGGAAGTCCTTACCAAACACCAGATCTGTTGGCATCTTGATCTTGGACTTTCCAGCCTGTGAGAAATGTTTGTAGTTTAAGCCACCAATGTATGGTAATTTCTTATATCAGCCTAAACTAAAACAGTTTTTGTCAGAAATAGAAGCTGAATATCCTGACTTGTCCTACCACACAGCAATTCAATGGTTTAGTGGTAGCAAAGTTTTATTGAGATTTTCTTGAGCTCAGGGCTGATAGTGAACATACTCTAAACCACTTGTAATGGTTAAACTTTACGTGTCAACTTGGATGGGCTATGGTGCTTGGTTCTTCCGTCAGACACTCGTTTAGATATTTTTTTAAAGCAGCGGTCCCCAACCTTTTTGGCACCAGGGACTGTTTTCATGGAAGACAATTTTCCACAGGCGAGGGTGGGGATGGTTTCAAGATGATTCCAGTGCATTACATTTATTGTACACTTGATTTCTATTATTACATTGTAATACATGATGAAATTATCATACAACTCACCATAGGTTGGGAATCCCTGCTTTAAAGGTATCTTGTAGATACGGTTAACATCTACAATCAATTGACTTTAAGTAAAGAAAATTACTGTCGATGATGTGGGTAGGCCTCATCCAATTAGTCAAAGGCCTTAAGAGCAAAGACAGGTTTCCTGGTCAAGAAGGAATTCTGCCTAAGATTGTAACACAGAAATCCTGCCTGAGTTTCCAGCCTGTTGGCCTGCCCCACAGATTTCAGATTTGCCAGCCACCACAATTTTGTGGGCCAATTCCTTAAAATAAATCTCTTAATACATGTATACATATATCCTGTTGGTTCTGCTTCTCTGGAGAACCCTGATATAACTATGATTATCAAACACTGAATGGCTTTAGAAATTAGCTTTTGCTCCAGACATGGTAATGTTTCTTGAGGAATTTAGTCTAAAATTACAAGGCAAAAGAGTGCTTATATGTGAAATTTATACCACAGTAAAGTTATTAAAGTAGTTTGAATCACAGGTCTGGTCAAATTTCTTTACATATTCCCTGTGCTATCAAAAGCTAAAACAAGCAAGATCTCCATTCTCATAGAAATTTGCAGCAGATATATTTTCTGAGCTCAAACTACAGTTCCAGCAGGTTTTTCAAACCTCAATGCAAGTATAAAGGAAATTTCCATATTTCATTTAACTGTGCAATTGAGGAACTTCCACTTAACTTTCAATTGGTGATTAATCTATAATGTAATGACATGCTAAAAGGCAAGTATCAAGAGAAGAATACAATAAAATTACATAAATGTCTTCCATGTAATGAATATGCCCAATTAAAATCTTATGCTCTTGGACTGACATCAGTATTTGGTAGTACCTGTGTAAAGACATTTTCAAAGATGAAATATGTAAAAATCTCATTATAGATTAGCATTAACAGATGAACATTTGCAATTGACTTTGATGACAGGGAACACTAACTTTGAACCCCAATTAAGCAAAAATATTACAAAAAATTGTACCCAATTATTATATTTTTGTCAATAAAAACTTGATGGAAACTTGTTTTATTTTTAAGTACTTAATTAACATCCTTGATTTTGCCTCTTGGCATGAAAAGCCAAAAATATTGACTACTTGATCCTTTATAGAATAAATTTGCCAAACTCAGATCAAGAAGAACATTTCACAAGTACATCCAGCTGCCCACTTGGATAGCTTATAGTGATTGAAACAAAACTCTTGATCTACTCCCAAGTTCTTCTATTCCTGTCTTTCACTCATTAAATGACCTCTAATTCAATTGCTCAAGCCAAAACTCTACATATCTTCCTTGATTTTTTTTTTGCTTTTCCAGAATCTCTATATTAATCCATTAGAATCACCTCTCAGTCCTCCAAATACACTAGCTTTAATTCATCTACTTCTCTCCGTATCAGCTGCCTTTACCCATCTATCTCATCTTGCACTACTGAAATAGTCTGATCTCTCTGCCTCCACTCTTGACCTTAATGATCCAGTATTCATTCTAGCCAGAGGAATCTCTTTAAAATGTTAAAAGACCATTACTCCGCTATTAAAATTCTTTATTGCCTTTCCATTGCAATTCCAAATCCAAATTCCTTCTCCTTATCTGAAAGGCTCTATATGACCCAGCCCCCTTTCCCTGTAGCTTCAGGTGCACTAGTATCCTGGATGAATAGACCAATCTCTTTTTTTCTTCGCCTTTACATCTGCTAAACACTTTACTATTAAATAGAACCATCTTCCCCCTCTCCTTTGCATGCATGTCTGGACCTTTTATTTCCTTTGAATATTAGCTCAATGTGTATAGTATATCTTTCTTTTCTGTTACTGTCCACCTTACCTGGTTTATTTCCTTTACAGCAATGGAATGTAAGCTTATGGGAACAGGCACTGTACATTGTGCCTAGAGCAGTGCCCACATAAAATGGGTAATAGTGCATAGTCAGCAAATACTGAGTAAAAGAAATTGCAAGATAAGGGGAAATAATCGCTATCAGAGCACGTAACAGAGGTCCTACTGGGACCAGATCATTTGGACTTCAGGAAAGAGCAAAGGAAGCCAATGAAAGGTTTAAGCTAGAGTGTGGTAAAACAGTATTTTTTGCTTTAGAAAGATCACTATGGCCATAGTGTGTAAAGTGAAATATGGAGGGAAGCGAGGCAGAAGACAAAAAACCAGTTAGGAGGTTGCGGTGGTAGTAGAGGGGATGAAGGAGTGCATCAATTTGAAATATTCAGGAGACAGCATTGGTAGGACAGGTATGGAAGGCGAGAGAGCAAATGTAAAGGAACACTCCCAAGTTTCAACTTTGTGTATTTGGGTGGATGGTGGAAGCATTACCCAACCTGGAAACTATGGCGGAGAGCTGGCTGGAGGAGGGGTAAAGTACTCGAGAAATGTTGGATTTGAGATGTCTATTAAGTATCTCCACAGCTGGTTTAAACCTCTGCCTCGTAAAGAGATAATCCAGAGTCCAAGCCCCTGTGATGCCTTCTCTCTTCATCAGTGCCTGGTACACAGAAGTCACTTATTGTTGAAGGAAGAAAGGAAAGACAGGACAAATCCAAGTGGGTTTGGGGGTCATGAAAACTGGAGATATAAAATTAAAACGTCATCCCTATTTAAATGGTTTAATTCAGAAGAATGGATAAAATCACCCAGGAGTGCGAAAAGTTAGAAGAGGGCATAGAGCCCTAAAGAACTGCAACATTTATGAGACAGATAATACTAACAGGGTCTAGCATAGTGCTTTGCAACAAATGTTTGTAGAACAAACATTATAACTAATACACGAAGTCAGGGATATTATAGGTAAAAATCATGTGAACAAAATTCTTTTAAAAAAGAAGACAGAGAACCAGTTAAGTGGTGCACATCACCCCACATAAAAAGTAATGGTTCAGGCCAAGCATGGTGGCTCAAGCCTGTAATCCTAGCACTGTGGGAGGCTGAGGTGGGAGGATCGCTCGAGGTCAGGAGTTCGTGACCAGCCTGAGCAAGAGCAAGACCTCATCTCTACTATAAATAGAAAGAAATTAGCCAGACAACTAAAAATATATAAAAAAAATCAGCCGGGCATGGTGGTGCATGCCTGCAGTCCCAGCTACTCGGAAGGCTGAGGCAGGACGATCCCTTGAGCCCAAGAGTTTGAGGTTGCTGTGAGCTAGGTTGACGCCACGGCACTCTAGCCTGGGCAATAGAGGGTGACTCTGTTTCAAAAAAAAAAAAAACAGTAATAGTTCAGACTCTGAAAGGTAAAGTAACTTACTCGAGGTTATTCAGTGGCGGGTTAGGGCCTAAGTCCAGGACAGTGTTCTCGGCACCAGTGTGAAATCATCCCATTCTTCCCCCATCAGCATAACGCAGCTGCTTAAGGAATACACTCAAGTCTCTGCAGCTCTGTTCTCACGTTGTCTCTCCCACACAAATTACTCAATCCAGTCCGTTACCAGTTTAGATTGCAGGGCAGTTTATTTGAAAAAATTAAGTAACTGCAAGTACCCGCCTCCCCATTCCACTATCCACCCCTCTAAACAGAGGGGTGGTCTCTATCACGTGTAAGTGGGATGGGAAAGGAGGTGGTGTGGTCCCACTGTGCAAGTTACTCTCAAGCCTTCAGCATGTGCTGTCTCAGCCCTGAGTCCCTCTGACCATGGCAACCTGTTCAGAGAGCAGTGGTGCCACCCTGAGAGCACTTTAGGTCAGTGCCATCTCCTGAGTTCACTGATCACATCCAGTCACTGTGACCATGTATGAGTTAACAGTGGCGGTCAAAGGTAGACCAGAGGCACAGGCTATTGAGGGAATACCCTCTATTAAAGAGGGTTCTAGGAATGACACATGGAATGCTCAGTTTGTTAAAGTGCTCAGCTACAACATAAAAAAAGGGTTGGGAAGGTGTCTACTAGTGAGAAAACAAGGTACAATCTGAGGGACTTCTGGAAAGATACAATAAAAAAAGTTCATAAAAAGAACTCTGCTCACATTTCCAGCAATGATTAGAGATTACTCAAGCTCTGAATCAAGGGTATCCCTAGCTGGAGACCAGCTAACTCCTCGTGGAGACCAAATAAAACATTTATGACTGTCTTTTTGCTCTAACCCTTCTCTCATCAAGTAACTTTCTAATTTGAAATCTGGTTTCCTCAATGGATATCACCACTACAAAAAGAAGGTCCATTATGGGCAAGTGACCAACTTAAGTACGGCCTGTAAACCACTTTCCTGTAGGGTGGTTAGCCAAAACCTGGGGGGAGATGAGAAATCTGAGTTTCCGAATCTGCCAGGCTGAAAGGCCCATATTTAAGAGCAAGAAGTCCATAACGTGTCTACCCTCTTCGCATGATTACAAGATCCAGGACTCAGGTGTCATGGTAGTAAGGGGGAAGTATCCATCAGCGGCAGTGGTTATCTTGTCCTAGAAGTTAGTGTATACGGCCTCAGCAGTCACTTGTAAGTCCAGTGGGCAGTAGCCCAGCCCTGGCCCTTGCATAGGTCCCGGTGGCGAAGGAAACAGGCATGGACTCGAAACCGACGGCCACAATGGGGACAGGCGTGCAGGGCTCCAGCATGGGTCTTCATGTGCTCTGTCAGATGGTGCTTCAGTTTGAAGCGTTTGTTGCAGATGCCACAGCCAAAAGGCCGAAGGCTGAAGGTCAGCATGATATGCCGGTCACGCTTTGGCTTCACTGCAAACCGCTTCCCACACAAGCAGCCAAAGCGTTTTCCATCTGCAGGAGGTGTCCCCCCTAGCTTCACAGGCCCATGCACAGCCTGCCCTGCTCCCCCAGGTCCTCCACCTCCTGACAGGATTTCATTCCCATGAAGATCCACTGGTTTCCAAGATGGACCCCCACCCCCAGATGTTGCCCCTCCCCCTGAGGACAACAGGAACCCTAGCTCCCTGTTCCCTTCAGTGTCCCCTCCAGGAAACACTTTGATTTCCTCCTTTGTTCCTCCAGACTGAGTTCCACCTCCTGATAGCTCCTCCTTAGGCTCCAAGGGTTCCTGCTTAATGTAGAAGATTTTGGGGGGCAGTGCAGTAGGAGGGGCAGGAAGCTCAAGTGATGCACTCTCACCCTCTGGAAGCCTGCGGGGAGTACCAGATATGGGCAATGGGTGGGATCCATGAGAATGGGCTAAACCCCCTGATACTCTCTGAGGCTGAGGAGTCTGAGAGAGTACAGCTGACCCCTGGTCCTCATCTTCTTCTTCTTCTTCCTCCTCCTCCTCTTCTTCCTCCACCTGAATTTGTAACACCTCGCCCAGTTCACTCCCCTCCCCTCCCACAGGGCTCTCAGTAGAAGCCGGGCTCTCAGTGGAAGCGGAGGATTGCACTGGGGTCTGGAAAGGGGAAGAGCGAATGCACCAGCCTCCTGGAGAGGATGTGGTGGAAAGAAGCGCATGGTAAGAGGTTGCTCCACGGGCTGAAATTCCACCACCTGAAGTTTCCAGTTCTCTAAGAATCTCTGAGCACTGATCTACTACTTGCCACATCTGAAGGCCACTGGCCACAAGGAGATGGGCAGGGAGAGCATCCAGTGGCAGGCGGAGGCGCCCTGAATAAATGAGCTGGAGCAGCCCCTCGAAGGCATCGGCTTCAATAACACTTGGCAGGGTGAGACGGGGCGCATCCCCCAGAAGCAGCTTGTCATGGAAGTAGGGAGAGGCAGCAGCCAACACTGCTTTGTGAGCCCTAAGTTCCCGGCCCTGAACCAGGAGGGACACATCACAGAACTTTCCCTCTAGCCTGTGGCGGTTCAGGGATTCCAGCAGCGCTGAGCTATGCTGCGGAAACTCGATCTGTATTGTCCGTGGCGCTGGGTTGCAGATAGGGGAGGGGGGTACAGGAGGCAAATGCGTCGAGGTATCCATGGCCTCCTAGGAAAGCGAGATCCCAGAGGGTCGGGAAGAGGAGCTGGGGGTTTAGGGGTAGATTCCACGCGGGATGAAGGCTGTAGAGGAAAGAGATGGAGGTCACAGAAGCCCTGGATAATGGGGGAACCATGTCCCCTCAAACCACTCCCCCCCCATTTGGACACTTTTCAGTCAGTAGTGGTTTCTGCAGATCAGTCCCGCCCACCAAGAAAACAAAAACAACAAAACACCAACCGGGGATTTAACTTCCAGACCCTGTGGAAGATGATGAAGAGGCCCTTCAGCCACGAGCCTGACCTCGCCGGCCCAGGAATGCTCCTGCCTCGCCACTCCGCTCCGCCTCGCAGTGCCCACAGAAGCCGGCTCCCAGGAACCCGCAGCCACCGGGACACCGTGAGTCCCGGCCCGGCCGCCCTCCCCGCCGACACGCCCCCACCGTCACACACGCGGCTAGCCCCTCGCCGCAACCCAGCCGCCACAGCGCCGTAGCCGGCCGGAAGCTACCGCTTCCCCGCCGGACGCTGACGCCGGATGCGCGGGGCGGGGCTAAGGCCGTAGCCAATCGGGGGGCGGTGGCCTACAAGCCTCGTAGTGATTGGTTACGCAGACGAGGAGGGCGGTGCTGGCGGGAGGCCGCTGGTCCCCGAGCCCTGTCGTATGGCGTGTCGGGTGGAGGTGCTGAGGTCCCCGCCTAACCGGGAACCGAGGCTCCAGAGAGCACAGCCTGGACGGAGCGGGCGGACCGTCAGCCGCCCCGGCTGTGTTTCCAGATGAATAAATGTAGCGCCCGCCCCCCAGTAGGTGCTGAGACGGGCGAGATTAATTGGGCACCTACTGTGTGGGCTAGGCACTTGCCCATATCATCTCGTGTCCTCCCACCAGCCATGCAAGGTAGGAGTGACCGTCCTCAGTTTCCATGCGGGGGAAACAGGCTGGAAGAGTCACTTAGCTGGCAAGTAGTGGGCCTGGGACTGGAATCCCGATTTGCTAAGGAATCAGGTTCTTTCCTCCAGTCCGCACGGGAGCACTTTAACCAACACTTAAGCAAGTAAACCTTATTTCTAGGTATTTTTTAAAAAGGTATCTGTAGATTCTTTTATCAGATAACGCCGCTGCTCCTGGCTTCTTTGCTCCTTCCGACTAGGTGAAGCAGTGGGTGAGGAGAGAGCTAGACTGGGGAAGCTCGGCCAGTGCAAAACTCGTGCTCTAAAATAAAATAAATCTCGCTGGGAGAGGGACATTGTATGAGGAGAGTATGACATCAGGCAAGGATATACGGTTTTTCTCCCAAGCTGTCAGCTTCCTCTCAAAAAGTAGATCCTATCACCCTGCTGGTCTGTCTGGAGATCGCAGCCTAAGAAAGTCATCACAGCGATAAAAGAACAATCTCCGTTTATTAAACATGATTTTTCTGTTTCACCACACACTCCAGAAAAAAAGGAAATGAGGCTGGGAGTGGAGAAAAAGGGACAGTGGTGGGGGATAGAGAAGGCTGGGAGTGGGGTGGGGAGGGAGAACGAGAAAACAAAATAAAACAGGTAGGAAGAGCATCTACCTACCCTTAAGGTGGTGGGTAGGGAGGGAAGCAGAGGGCCGGGGGAGGAGGGGGCCAGGAAGCTCTGTACAGAGGGGTCGCCCCCAGCCCACACACACACACCCCGGATATGTACAGTACAAACCCCAGATAATTACAACAGCCAAAGGAAGGAGGAAGGGGATGGAGAGTCCAGGGGTAGGGCCCGAGGTGGGGAAAGCAGAGGAAAGGGCACAGGGATAAAATTTCACATATTTACAACTTTTATATAAGTATAAATTTGGCCCCGGCTGGGTGTATGTGTAGGGGGATGGGATTGAAGGGGAACTGTCCATACAAAAGAAAGAAGGGTGGTGTCTGGGAAGTCTCAATACCAAACGCAAGAGATGAGGGGGCAAGGCTGGGTAAGGGACAGCAGTCAGGGAAGAGGGGGTGCCAAGGAGGGGCTTCTCCTCCCCTCCTATGGCCTACCCACCCCAAACCCCATCCATCCTACCTCCCCTATCCCGCCAGAGAACTATATACAGAGAAACACCGAAAAATTGTGGAGCTGGCGAGAGGGAGGGAGGTGGAGGGAGATTGGGGGGGGGAGGATGAGAGGGAAGCCCAGCCCTGTCCTACCTCCCCCAGGGGACAGAGGTCATGGAAGGGGGCCCCCCCAACACCCCTCCTCCAACACAGGTCCCCCCACCCTGGAGGAGAGAGACATGGCTTTTCCTAGAGTAAGTTCCCCCCTCCCCCTGGGAGTAGAGACCAAGAATAGAGAGGGAACGGGCAGGAGGAACTGTGTGTCAGGATAGGGCAGATCAACTAGTCTGTCCTACCTGACATACATGCCCTCCCAAACCCTAACCCCTCACCCTAACCTCAATTCCACCCCACCCAACACATTGGGGGAGGGGGGGGCATAAGCCCCCTCACCCCGCTCTGGGACCAGCCAAGAGCAGATCAGGTGTGGGAAGAAGGGGAGACAACTCCCATTCCCCCCTTGCCGCCCCCTCCCTGCCCCGGTGGCCCCCTCCACCCCATCAGGTTCTGGGTGGGGAGGGTATAAATGGAAGAGTGGTAGGAGGAAAAGGAGTTTGTGCGTGCTGAGCCCCCCCAGACGCTCCTGAGAAATCAAGGGGTAATAGGGCCCCCTCACCCGGGGTCCCCTCCCCATAACAAGGGGGGCAGGGGAGGCCAAAATGGGGCGGTGGAGGGGAGTTAGATTGTCAGCTCTGGTTACTGCTAAAAAATCACCCTGAAGTTGAAAGTTTGGAGGTGCCACACCCCCAGGGTGGGGGTGAGGATCTGTCCCCCAGTGCTCAGGGGAACAATGAGGCAGAGGATGGGGATAGCACCCCGGAGTGAAGGGGTCTGTGTGGGGTAGCGGTGTCCTGGAGCAAGGGTCCCTGGGGGTCAAAGAGGGGGCAGCACCCCGACAGGAAGGAAAAGGGGGCAGCTCATAGTCCCCGCTCTCCCCCCTGGAAATGGTGCAGTGGGGGTGGGGGATCAGTGCCCCCCAAGGAGGCATTCAGGGAGGCAATCCCGCTGTCCCTCGGTGACGTCCAGTCCTGGTGGTTGGTGCTATTACGGGGTGGGGTGCACAGGGAAGGAAGAGAAGGTCTGTGATGCTGGGTGGGCTAGTGGTCTGCGGTGTTTCGGAACTCGCCGTTCTCCGTGATCTGCAGCCGGGGTGGAGGGGGCGGGGCTGGGGGGGCCAGGCCGTTCCACGGTGGGGCCAGCGTCACACGCGGGTTTGTTGGACCCAAGGGGGGAAGCTGCCTCTCCTGCAAGACACCAAAGAGGAGAGCGCGGACTTATTGAGACGCTTCGAGGGGGCCTGGATGCCAAGCCCCCAAGCAGTGGCCTCCCCCCTAGCCAGCCCACTCCACAAGCATGTCCCACCCCCTCCTCCCAGGACAATCCCCACCATCCCCCTATTTTGTTTCTCACCTGCAGAAGTTACGTCCTTTGCGATCAGGGAGAAGAGAATCTCACCCCCAGACTCTTAAAGGGGGCCTTCAAGCTTTCAACCCAGTGTCATACCAGGAAACCAGCTCAAAAGCCAGTTCCTACCTCACCCCCAACCTAACCCCTCTAGGTCACCTATATACCCCCTGCCCAGCCTGCCCTCCTCCTCTTGGAACCCCCTCCCAGCCCACCCCCAACCCGAGATAGGAACTTGGTGTTGAGGAACAAGGGGAGGCAGTACAGCAAAACCTCATTAATCCAAACCCCCGTGGATTTGGAATTTTTTCATAATTTGAACAAAAACTGGGCTTGAGTTTTCCTTTATCTGTGAAGAAAGGGTGTGCTACGCAAATCAGTGGTGGAAATGTGTCTGTAGGAGGGGCTATTTAACCTATACCAGAAAACAGACTTTTCAATCCTATCTATTCATTAATGCATGCTCCCTGAGGACCTGAGTGGAAAAAGCCTTGTTCATTCAGTTCTACTTACTGTATATATTTTGAAGACATGCATTTCATTAAATAGACACTGTCATTCAGTTTTGTCACTTATTCAGAGTGGCCATCTTCTCAAATATAACATTCCAAATTACAGAGGTTTAACTGTACTGGGGGGAAAGGAAGGGGATCAGGGAAGTGATGTGGGAAGGGCAAGATCTTGTGGGAGGGAATGACTAGGAGCTTCTGCAGAGACACAGCATGCCCCAATCTCTGCGTCCCTGGGAAGCAGAAAGTGGCTTTATTTTCTTCCACCTCCGCCTGCCTTTCAGTCCCTCTCCCTGGGTGCCCAGTTAGAAGGTGAGGGGTACCAGACCCTCTTCCCACCCCTGGTCCTACTCCCATCAGCTCCTGTCACTCCTGGACCAACTTCTGGTTCCTGCCCTAGCCCTACCTTCTGTTCCTCTGCTGGGAAAGAAGAAAGTTACCTGAACTCCCCTCCACTTCTGGTTGCTCACTTGGCTTTTCAAAATTCAGGCTCAAAACTAATTTATAAATTAATGGCTTAATTGCAGGGGGACCAATACCTACTACAAAGTGGTTTAGAACAAATGTCCAAATTATTCCTTGGGCCACAGGGCATTTAGACCTGGCAATGTGGCTATCTGACATCTCCAAAAGATACAAAAACATTCCAAATAAAGACTCCCAGAGCACCATTCCCTTCTATCCCAGGATCAAGGAGCTCAGGTCACCCAGACCCCAGCCTTAAGCAAAGCTGCCTTCTTACCTTGCTGGGTATCACATACTTTCTCCACGTCAGTGAGAGGCGATTATGAATGGTAGGGTATCCTGACCACAGCAGAGGAAGGAACCCCCAGATTCCCTTTCCTCTGCTTGTCTGTTGGCGACAGCACATAGGCATGCCCCTACACCCCCATCGACCCAAATTTAGAAAGTAGATAAATTAGGGTACCATTATTCACTTTACAAAAGAATTCACTGCAGGAGTCCTTTAAATGGTGAGGTCCCCTGGTGCCTTTTAGCATCTGTTTGCTGATCACTAACTACTTTGACAGAGAGGCTGGGCAGACAGTTAAAATTGCAGTGTGAGGAGCCACTACCCACTGCACGTGAATCCCAAAGAAAATAAAGTATCTCAGAAATGATGTCTGTGGCTGACAGGTTCTCATTTACTGGCTTTTTAGGTAGGATTATGTGTCCGGCAAGGCCACCGGGTGGTGGGAGACAGGGAGTGAGTGGCATTAGCAACCTGGGGATGTGAGCTCTGACAAGAAGAATGAAGAGGTTATTTAGTGTGCTGTTCCTGGCATCTCTGCCTGGGCATCGACGTCATTCCAAGCCTATGATCTGATCTAGGAAGACATCTCTCCTCACTTCTAACTCCCAGGCCACGTGGGCAAGTCCACGTCCCAACATCTGTCCGAGGTTCCTTTCTTGTTCCTCCTCCTTGTTCTACCCACTCTG